TGTCTAAACAGGGCAAAGCAAGCCAGCTAATATACAACCGCGGGTAAACAAGGCCATGCAGTAATGAACGTGCGGATTAGGCCTCCAGCCTATGTAGCGTGATAAGGAGAAACAGCTGCTACTATCCAGGTAACAGCACATATTGACAGTCAATGAAGGATAAACTACCGTGCGGCTCCGCTCAAACTGTGGGCACACGGCATCCACACACAAAGACGCACCGACACACACAAACAAAGCAGCACCCGAGCACACCTACACACACTTCATCCGCATAAGAACCGCAAAGAATCGGGATATAATAAAGATATAAGCCTATTTACATAGTATGAAGCTTGAAATGCAAAACAATGCGACGCATAAATGCAGTGTGATTCAATGTAAGAGATAATAAATGGCTTCATAATGAGCAATAAAAAGGCTCTTTAAACACTTTACTGCTTAGTTCACACTTATAATTAATCTGGGTTCCATGTGCGCATATAAACCGGGTTTAAAACGCTGCCCAGCAGTGGAAGTGAAACGGCGGGTGAATGAGAAAAACTGCCAGCTGCTAAACACGTGCGATGTAATTCAGCTGTAGCCTCTAGCTTTGAAAATATGTCACCTGTTTCCTCTCATCTGGGCCAGAATGGCATCCTGTCCAAACAGCGCGCTATGAAAAAGGAAAAAAAAAAAAAAAAGCAAGAATTGTGCCCCAACAAAATAATTTACGCTGAAACGCACAACAGGAAACCATAACATTTATTATGTTTTACAAAGCCATCAAATAAGTGGAGAGGGGATTAATTGCCCCGGCCCGACCTTAAAATAATTATTTGGAGCGCTGCAACTCTAAACTCCGATGAAATTGATACACTTTGATAATTAGATTCTTGGCACTGACCCGCTGAAGTCAATAAAGGTTATTAAGGCCAATTGCTGTCTAAACACATTACAGGCAGAGTAAACTGTCCGTCGGAGGCCCCTGCTACTCCAGCGCCAATATGATAATCCATTCTCCGTCCTGGGGGTTTCTTCCCTAGTGCCTGTGTCTCCACTCTGCCATACAAAACCAGATTGGATTCGCTTAACCTTTCCAGGACTTTGATCAAATGAGCTCACACAGCAATAACATTTACATTGACCCCCCCCCCCTTCTCCCCTGTACACACACAGACACACAAACAGTCCCTCTCCCTGTTCTCTCTTCCTCCCCTTCTGTGTTTCTGACTCCACAGACTCGCCGCCCCCCCTCCCTCCCCCCCTCCGACCCCCTCCTCAGCACGTTTGCTCAATAACCTAATCAGCTCTTGATGGCGACCGGGCCAGGCGGCGCATGATTGCAGCGCTGCCCTCCTCGGCAGCCCAGATTGTTTCCGAGGACTGTTATTACAGTGAGGGGAGAAGATGAAATGGTCACCGAGCGCATCTCCGCACAAAGCATGCAAAAGCCAGCCTCCATTATAAATCAGAGGGAGTAAATTCTGTCACAGGGCGGAGGGAAGAGGCGAGTGCGTCTCTGTAGTGTATGCGCGCCTGAGTGTGTGACCAAACCGTCGGAAAACAGGGACTGACAGGCTGGGTGAACTGAGCAGAGGGAGACGTGGCCCCGATACCACTTCCTGTTTTGTACATGTTGAAGTATACAAATGTATTCAACTGAGTGGATCCTATTTATTATGAAAGTAGATTAATTTCCTTGATATGCCTTGAAAAGATTTCCATCTACAAGGCTCGTTCTCCCGTCAAATGAGGGAGAAAATGTGAGAAAGAGACACGGTGAGATAGCAATAACAGGAGAGGGGAAAAAAAACAAGAGAAAGAAAGAGCATAAAGAGAGAGTAGAAAAAGGAGAAGACGACGGAGAGCATTGAAATGTCTTTGCATCCGCCGGCTTTTGAAGTTGTGAGATGAGCAGCCACAGAAGTCAGGAAAGTGACAAATTAGGGAAAAAGCTGTACTGTGCAAGTAGAGCTGCTAAATCAATTAAAGTCACACCGAGTGCATACATTAACATCAATGTCTCACACGTACACGCAAACACTCACACACACACACACAACACACAGGACAGAGAGAAAAAAAAAAGATGTGCTCGTGGGCTCAACGCTGCTTCTCCCCCACAGTGAAAAGAGGAAAGATAAAAAAATATCACACCGGTATTTAAAATATTCTGCATGAAGCCAAGCTTTTTTGTCTATTGTCAATCAGATAGAAGCCATTCATTGTTGCTAGTTTAAGGAAATGTCACTATTGTATGATAGCTATGATAGCAGACTCACGAGGGAACACAATGCTCCGAGCCAGGGAGGTCTAAATGGACTTCAGCACCTTGGAATCACTAGGGAATGGATAAACCTTTCAGTTAATGCTCTTCTTCAACCCGCCTTTACCTTTCTTTACTACTACACACACTCATACACACATTTTCCTTTTGCCGCACACGACATAAAGTACACCGGAAAACTATCCAAGAGCCGGAGTCTTTCCATCATGGAAGCACGTGAATTCACGAGGTATCAAAAAGAGGCAAGCGAGCAAGTGGACTTGTTTTTTTTTGTCTTTTTTTCGGGCCTTATATATTTATTTATGTATTTTATCAGAATGTCATTCAAATGGAAGGATGAGCATTTGCATGACAACAGGCTGAGGAGCAGAAAGGCAGCCCCAGGGAGAGACAGTATCCATAAACAGGAGAACCCCCCCCCCCCTCCATATTGCAATATTCTTCATACAGACTAACAAACACAGCCCAACGCATCCCACAACACTGTTGCTAAATATGACAATAAAGAGAGGGAGCCTTGTGGTTTGTATTACTATTTTAGCTGGATAAAACAATAGGCTGTTTTATTGCTACACCACGGTGTATAAAACAATTCAGTGTCATTTTATAAAGCCTATCCAAATAGACGTATATTTGTTATTTTAAAATACTCACGCGGATATCGGATTTGACTAAAAAAATAATGCTGTATTAAAATATGGTATGCAGGCAGCAGAAATATCTAAATAAATAAAAGGTAAACAGTATCTGTACACAGTAGGTCACTTGTATTTTACTATATTATACTAGCTGTCAATTTCCAGCTTCAAAATGTAAAATATATGCAATAAAGGACCGTAAACGGGGGACCTCCCTAATTTAAATAACTCAAAGTAATTTAGAGGAATGTGTTTTAATATACCGTCAGTGGAAACTGCAGCTTTCCAAACCTCCAACAGGAAAATCTATAAGTCACATCTATGAAGTGCATTTCATCAGCATATCAGAGGTCGATGCATGTATGTAAATATTGCTAACAAAAGCAATAATGTTGTCTTTCATCACAATACTGAATCATTACCTTTATGTGCTCACCATTGGATTACTTTTGCATCGGTTCAATATGTATTTCCACAGAAGACATGATTGCCTTTGTGTGTTTTGACAATGTGAATAATTATTTTTTCCTATGCCAAAGAATCTATTCTGCTATTTTTTCTTGTACATATGTATTTGAAACACTCAAATATAAAAAATATATATATACCATACATTTATTGTATTGTTTTATTGTGTTATATGCTTATTTTTAACCTTTGAAAACTTTTTTGCCCCCCCTCTAAAAAAAAAAGCTAAAATTAAATTTACTGCATCGTAAGACGTCTGTTGCTCGGTCAGCAGTGAATAAAAAGTTACATTTTGATACACAGAAAATCCGGTTCAGACAGTGGACCTGCTTTGCTTTTGCCACTGGAAAGAAGGGACAAACTTAACATTTGGCTGACGGACCTTTTCTTTACGCGGGTTCCGAATCACACGTTTGGTCTGGCCCCAGAGGTGGAGGCTCAGTCCCCATCTATGATTACCCCCAAACCACTGCTAGCAGCACCTCCAGCCACGCTCTGCCAGAGAAAGAGAGACTGGGGCTGGAGCTGAGCAGCGGCGGCGGCAGCAGTGGCACTGCTCTCCTCCAGCCCCTGTCTTTATCCCCGCCTGAGCATTAGATGTGATTACTGCTCAGCGCTCGACACTGACAGAGACAGAGAGCTCCCAGAGACAGCAGGAGCGGGAGAGAGGCGGAAAGGGAGCGGGCAGAGAAAGAGGAGCGTGGCTTTTTCATCCACCAACGCTGCTGCTACAGTGATACAAGAGTGCCCCCTGCTGCTTCTAGTGTCTGTTCAATACACACACACACACACACACACACACATTAATGGCAAATATGCATGAAGACACGCTCTTTCAAATCCAGCCATCAGAGAGGTAGAGCCTTTAAGTGGGAAGAGAAAGCACAAGATTGAGCATGTATCTGTGTGTTTGTGCGCTTTGTATTCGCAATACTGTTTCTGTGTGTGCGTGTTTTAAAGTCTGCGCTGAACAGGGCTCTGACTAAGGTGACTTAATTACAAGCCTAACATAGCTTGGTGATTTCTTTATAGTGGTGTATAAGTAATAGCCATGTGCCTCTGTGAGGCCACCATTAAACACATGACACATCCTTAATGATGCAGGATAGTGAGAAGTTAGGCACTCCATCGTGTTAGTTTAAACTCACCCCCCTCTGTGAGGTGATTACTGGGCAGCAGATCACTTAACTGTTTCTGTAAGAGGTAAAAGGCTTGTTGGGCAATTTGAAAAGTGAATATCTGAGTTATTAAGTGAAGGGGAGGGTTAAACTATACAACCATTCTCAAACAAAGGCATGATGTGATGTTTTCATCATTTTAGAATTTTATTTCAGTTATAATAACAAAAATATCCCTTCCAAACCATAATATTATATGAAATCTTTGAGATATTGTGAAGCTGTAATTGTTCTTGTCGGAGTAACATTTTAAGCTTTTTCCGTTGAGCCCAGGTGAGACTCTCAGGTTTTAACACAACCGAAGTTTGCATGAAACAAGAGGAATAACGTGCAAAATAAATAGAATTGACTCATAATTTAAGAAAATATTTTACTAAACCGAACCGGCTAAGACAGTTGTTTTTAACAGCTGTCGCGTGACCGGCGGTGCGTTGGGAGTAATCTCACCATGGTTTCCATTAGCTTCCAGTCCTTCTCCAGCTGCTCCATGGGCCTGGTCCACCAGCTGCAGAAGCGGGCATATCGCTGGCCCTGAAACCAGTACTGCCGCAGCCATTCGAATTCCACCTGCACAAAGACAAACACACACAGAGCACAAAGGTATTTACTCAGAGAAAGTGTTTTCCCAAAGCTGGACTAAACATAAGAAGGAGAAAAAACAGTCAGGGAAACTAAAATGTAAAATAATAAATAATAAAAACCTCTTGTTAAGGGATAATATACTTACTTCAATCCCATCTTTATTACATTGTAAGAAAAATATACAACAAAACAACTGAATTAATCTAAATTCCTACACAGCTACAGTCAAAAGTGGGGACTTGTGTCCTTATGTAAAGGCCCCAGTTTTGCACGTTTGTGTTTTGTATTTTGTTTTCTACATCACATAGCGACAGTGAGGACATCCCAGCTCCAGGCCTCAAACGGTTGCAATGACACGTCTTCATTGCATGACAGCAAAAAGCGGTGGGGAAGCTATGTCAAACACTGGTCACACCTTTTTAAAAACCACAGACATGCAAACCTTACACAAACGACTCATTCACACACACACACACGCCCGCACACCTTCCAGTCGGCACACCTGAGAGCTCCACCCACTTCCTCCTCTCCTGATTCCTTCTTCTCCCCTCCTTCTCCTCCTCCGCTGCTCCGTCTGGAGATGACAGTCTCTGCTGCCGAGCCGCACCCCTCTCCTCCGCTGGGAGTGTTTTTGTTTCCTGCTCGTTTGAAGTGCTGATTTAATCCTCGCAAGGATGCTCGGCGTAGCCAGGTGTAGCGTCTCTACTTCTGAGCGTGTGGTTCAGCGTATCTGTTTGTGAGCTTGGACCGGTGTTGCGTTTGCATCCCCGCGTGCATCCGCCCGTGTAAAGTGTGCGATCGGCTTTGTTAATGTCTCCGTATTAAATTGCCGTGTGAGTGTGCGTGTCAAAGATTGCCCCAAATGCCACCAACATAAACACAAGACGCCGAGTTGCCCTCCCCCTAAAACGCCTTACAAAGCATCATCCAGAGAAAACAATGCACATCCCGTTTCAGTTTGACATAGGCGGCACAAAGTGCATTTACACACAATGGAGTTGGATATCAAATAGAACAGAGAATGCCTTTGTTTATTTTCTGAAAACTACTTCCTTTGTTGCATTACTCGTTTCATCTGTAAACTAAAAGCCTCAGCAACGGTTTGAGCACATTAATTCTGTTCAGGAGGTCACATGAAATCAAACATAGAATTCCGGTTCCGCTAATATTTTCCCTTATGTCCCGATGCATTTCGAGAATATAATGAACAGTTGTTGTTTTTTTGGCATTGTATGCCAACCATCAGCCGTAATCCAACACCATTCCTCCAATTCATGTGTATTTGAAAGCTCCCGTGGTGTAGAGCTGAACCGGCCTGCAAAGGAAATAAAGTGTTTACTGACAAATGAGGCCTCGCTCCCAGTACAGCCACAAGCTTTTCGCTTTTCTTTTTTTTTTTTGTCATCTGACTTTTCTTTCCATCAACGTTTCTGCCGTAAACGGCATCTCAGTTAAACAAAATTAAGATATTTGCCTTTATGACTACATTTTGAAAAAGGGTTTATGGATTGGTTAAGATTTGTACGTAAATCTTTCTTTTTTAGCTTTGAGCAAAAATAAAAGATGAATGAAAGGATGTCGGAAAGTGGAGGGCAGATTCAACTGGTATAGCATTCTGATAGGACCAAATAAATAACAAAATTTGTCAAAATGAAAAACTGGTGCATAATATATCAAACATCAGTATGCATATTTAATATTTATAGACTTTAGAGCTAAAGCTAATAACTACTGAAAATGGGGCCACCACCAATAGCAATTTTTTTGTATAGAAAAGACTCCAAACAAAAAAATAAAAAATTAATGTAAGTAATTTGCGCAATAGCTACTGAATTAATTTTTAAACTGCGTTGCTTCCGTCGCAAACATTTATCCATTTTTCCTCTGCCGCAAAAAGTATTTTGAGCAATGCCGTCTGCAGGGAGCTCTGAAACAGCCAGTGAGCGAGTCAACACGGATCGCGATAACAGGACCCACTCCTTCTATCTATCTGAGCCAGAGGAGGCAGTGGAAATATCCAAAGAGACGATCTGACTTTAACCGCTGGGATTCCTTTGAGTTCAAGCTTTATAGAGGGTAACACATTTATTTATACTGCCCACAACACCATATACGAAGAAAAAAAACCCTCCAATATATTTCCTTGAATTTTAATACTAGAATAAGTTGCAATGTCTTGGAAACTTTTACTCCAGAATATATTCACCTAAAGTAATAAGTTGTGTGTGAGTTTAGATTGCCTGAGAGAGTCTTTTCAACTGTTCCTTGTATTCTGGAGCACGGCTGTAATTATCAGCTTTTTTTAAACTCTTATATGTTTTTGCACTTCGCCGCCTTTGAGGTAAATGTAATGTGTCTAATATTGCCTCCCAGCCAAAAAGGTTGCTTAGAAATGAGCTGTTAACTTGTGTTGATCTAGTTATGTCTGCCACCTTGTGCATTTCCTGAAGCTTTTTTTTTTAAATAATAAGAAAGGACAGCAGAGTAGAAAGAGCAGAGTAATTTAGAATTAAGCCAAGTTCATTGTCTTTATTGTTGCATTTGCAAAACTTTAACATTATGTCCAAAATACTTCTACCAGTAAGGACATTTTGCAGTGGTCATCTGTAAGATGAGCCATGTCACCTACCAGCCAACCCCCCCAAAAACAACAAAGGAAGAGAATTATTGACACAAACAACCTGAGTGAGGCCTGTCTGGGGCAGAAGCTGTGCACAGAGCAGTCCTGCCATTGACTCCCAAAAGGCTCTGATCACAGCGGGGATGACATGCAGGGACTGTGGCATGTCAGGGAGAATACACAGCCAGTGGCGCTGCTCAGCAGCCGCTCACTCACTCCATACAACCCACCCTTCAAAGAAATGTCATCCTTTATGGTCCCTTCAACACACTCCAAATCCACTCCCCTTCGATCACTACAGCTCAAACACACAACAAAGCCGCGAGAGCCAATATCGGACGTCCTTTTTCTCTCAGCCTGTCCCTCCTTCTATCTCTCTGATTGTCTGCCTGTCCTTTGGTGAGAAGAAACCAACCCGCTTCTCCACTTTGAGCTGACACGGCTGCCTGTCCCCCACAGTGCAGGCCAGTGGTGGGCACAAAGAAGACCATCTAAAGCCACCGAGGAGTGCTGGCTTTTTGGTATTTGGGAGTCGGGCCACCCAGCTGAGACTGGCCAAGCGGGGAACTCGGGACTAAATGCCACCTATCCGGGCCGACGGATCGAAAGTCTGCGCGAAATAGAGGGTTGTTGTCCGGGTTAGTTTTTTCCTCTGAGGTTGCAGGAGGTAAGTGGGGGGAGAGCCGGTGACCCCCCTGCGGCGGTCCCTGTCATCTCTCCCGGTGATGGACACACTAACTAGACATTAGCACCACATTAGCGGAGCGGCCACCCACCTCGGCAACTCTGGAGTTAAAGCCAAGAAAGCCTCTTATTTCCCATTTAATGAGAGGCATTTCTTTTTTCTTTTCTTTTTTTTTTTTCTATTTCCCCCCCTCACACCTTCACGGTATTCCCTGAGCGGGTCCAATCAATTTCCGAGCCGGGGCCCTGAGGTGAGAGCTGATGAGAGTGTGATCGATCCCTCTGTTTACCTATCCGAGCCTCCTCTCACATCAGCCCGGATAACTTGTTCCCCCAAGCTCTCCGTCCGTTTCCCCACGCTCAACACACAATGGCCAGGATGCTCGTGCAAGGTGGTGATATAACCGCAAATAATTCCATTCAAAATCATTTGTGTTATTTGCCAGAACACGATATTCTGGCAGTCTTGCCTCTGCGGCCCACATTTTCTGTAAAGACGCTGCACCCCTTATCGTTAATCACGGATAAATGAGACTGTAAGAGGTGCAGTAAGATGGAACAAAAACAAAAGTGTACACACAGCAGATATAACAAATAACAGACTACATGCTGCACTAATCTGCGAGAAAAAATGTGTTTTCAGATATGATTTATAAGCTTACAATGACAAACCCCCCAAGAAGGGCTTTTCAGAAACCAGCCACAGACTCTTGGGCCTTTGGGGAGGAATTCTGGCCCTGAAAGCAGGACACCGGAAGGTCACGCACACCTGCCTCTGCACGGTTCGCTTTCCGCATGAGCATGTGGGAAAAACCTCGTCCCTCCCCTCAATATTTTCTGTGGGGGGACAAGCATCATTAGAGGGCGGTCCTCAGGGCGCTCTGTCACGCTCCCACCTGGGAAATGACACGGTGGCTTAAAATGAGACAAGACATTTGCGTGTGGGATTAGCATTTCAAAGCCAGACGTGCACACGGGGGCCGCGTGGCAGCGCTACGTTCGACTACTACTGAGATTAAAAGGAGACGGCGAGAGGGACTGCGCTAAATAAACAGGTGGGAAGTGCAGTTCTCCTCTTTTCTGTCTCCATCCCTGCTCATCCTCCACTCCGACTCCGACATCCTGCCCCTGTCAACAAACAGCGACACCTGGGTGGCAGACGCCCCACTTCATCATCATCATCAAGCCCCGCCCACATCCCCTGAAACGCGTCAGGGCCCCCGTCCCTCCCTCAACTGCGCAAAGTCTGCCGGGGCGTCAGCTCCTTCCTGCTGGCTGTTTAGCTTGTTTAAAGGAGAGGCCCAAAAGGCGGCGCTCGGGTCAGACTGCTTCCGTGTCTCTGGCTTGTTCGCTCCTCGGTCGTCCATGTCAAACACGACCTGCGCAACGGGCCCCCGCCGAACGCCAAAGCGGGCCGGCATCATAAATAACCCCACCAATAATACATCATTTAAGTGGGTGTTCTGCTCTCGTGGGCAGCTCCGAACAAATGGCCACATCGATCATTGCGAGAGCCTGGTAGGGTAGCCTTGAGCCCCCGAGAGCACCACCTTCTTACTTAAGCAAGCCCACATACATACAATCCAACCTTGTATAAATAGCATCCTATTTTCCTAAATAAAACTACGCCCCCCCCCCCCCCCCCCCCCCCCCAGTCAGGGCCTCTGCTTGGTAATCCTGTGTGATGATGCTAGCTCAACTAGCACAGCAGTTTTCCCAACACAGACAGCCCTATTGTTTGGCAGCAATGAATAATTAATATTCTCAACAACCTTTAAACAACCTTATGTCAGACTCATCTGTCATGGCATCCTGCTGCGGGGCCGGGATGCTGGCGTCGGCTTCCATGTGCACTTTGGGCACAGGGGTGTACAGGGGGAAGAGGTGAGACGTGATATTAACTGCTGCCTTGCGGCAAGCTAATACGGAAAGCCAGCGGCTCTACAGTCAGACCCTCAAGTTCCTTTTTTTTTGACCCGACTTTATCCCTCAGTACCCCGAGCCAGCATCACTCATTGTTCTGCAGGAGCAGGGGTTAGGGAGGGGATGGGGGCAGGGCTCCATCTTTAGAAAACATATGGAGAGGCTATTGCCTTACGATCCATCAAAGACCGGGACAAATGAGAACAACCTGGATTTCATATTGAAGGCATTTCCCTGAGTAGAAACAAGGTAAGCAGAGGGTGGGAAGCTGGCAGGCTCCCATTCTACCATCACATGACTACCAGTTCAGCGTGTAACTCAGGGAACACAAAGCAAAGAACACAAACTCCTCCACGATGAAATGGTATCAACCTGTCTCTGTTAATCCATTTCTAATGTTATTCTGAGTCCTCCCGTTTGCCACCTTCAACTCCAAAAGGTTTTTAAATGCATGTGTGCGGTCTTTGTCAAACGAACAAAGCAGCAGGTTATAATCTAACCGACTAAAAGTATCACATGAAGCGAATCTAAACCGCTGAACCTAAAATCGTATATCAGTGTTGTCGAGACTGATCTTTCTCAAAAGAATAGTAGGTCAACAAAAGGGCTGCAGTCTACATATGTCCACCGGATTTACATATATTACAGGTATATAAAGCCATATGATTCAAAGGGCACAAATACATGTTTGCTCAAATACATTCAATGCCTTAATTATTTGTTTACCCATGTTATTCATAGAGTACGCTTTTTTTTTGTACTCCACAACACTGATGCTGTTCGGATTAAATCATCATCATATTTGCAGATGGTTGTTAGTTGTTTTTAACCTCCTAGGACTACCAGATGGGTGAGGATTACAGCATCAGTCTGACTCAGACAGTGTCAGAGAGGTTTACAGCCGCTGATGAATAAATTCAAACTTTCAAACATCGCCATGCGAGCGTGTAAACACTTTTGGACCGCATTCTGCTGTCCAGCCCAAAGTATTTCCAAATGGTGTTGGGATCCCGTGTATTTATTGGATGATGCATTAGTGAAAACAGAATGAAGAAAAACAAGTTTTCTCGAAAGTGTTCTCATCAGTGTTTCTCAAAATCACCATAAAATACCTGCCAGCCATTTAAACTAGACAATGACAAAAAAAAAGTCAAATACACAGACGGATTATTGCATGCATGTGTGCACACACAAACACACCTCGTTGTGAATCTCCTCACAGTTTTGTAGCGTTGTCGGCTGAAGGGTAAGCAGGCTGTGGGAGCCTGTCTCAGGGTCAGTATGCAGGTTGGATAGGGCCTCTTGGCACCGGGACTGGATGTAGGTCAGGGTCCCACTGGAACACTGATAAGAATAGGACAGGCCCCGCATCACAAACCTTATCCACTGTTAGGGATACCTTTGAGTTTTACACAAAGATACTGAAATCCAAAAACTGCTGACCTCCAGACAGTCTTTGTGAAGAACACATAATGTTTACCTTATTTAACATCATGTTTCTAAGCCTATAATGACCCAAAAAATAAAGGTCAGAGGATTCTTTCTTTTTATCTTTGTCTTTGTAACTATTCTATGTAAAAAGAAAAGTTTTGATCATAGGCATTAAAAGGTTAAATACAAAAAATTGCTCGATACAATCATCTTAAGAAACTTAAATATGAATTGCAATAAAAAGAACATATGTAAAACGTATACAAATGTCTATTGTGGTTCATTTCTCTTTAATAAAGTATGCAAACACCAGTACTAAACATTGTCTTCTACACAGCAGTGGTCCATATTGAAATAAAGGGACTGTTTGCATAGTACACAGCAGTTTAAACAGGGTTTCTCCATTTTGCTTCTCTGATCTCTCACCTCAGCAACTCTGTGCGTGGAGCTGAATCGTGCACTGTCTCCAGTGAGGACACAATGCTGGTGGGTGCTGTTCAGGTCATCTTGTAAATACAGTGATAAGAACACCGTCAGCATATACCGACACACTCACAGAGATTCATAGAAAAAACAAAGAGTGCGCTCAAACCTGAAAAGACAAAAAAACAAAAATGAATCTCATACTGAGCGAGTGATTTTTGTTCATTTCAATAAAGAAAAGCAGCCCCTTCGAAAGGAGCGTCTTACAGCGGAAAAACAGATGAAAAGCACGGAGTGAATTAGACTAAATCAGCTTGTACACTCAGACAGATTTTGCTTGGTCCAGCCCCAAATCAAGTAGAGTGAAGAGCACTGTACTATAATTTTAATTACCAAACAAAACCAGATCGTGCTCAATCTGTCAAGATGGAAGAGCCATACCAACAAACATTTGTTCAATATCACATGAGCTTTACAAAGAGGCCTTGGTGCTGTTTCCTGGGTATCCCGCCATGTGTTTCTTTGTGTGTATAGATGTTTCCCAGCTCTGCCATTATTTGCCTCACACCAATAATTAATTTAGCTATGACAGAGCTGTCATTCACAGCACATGTGCATATTTACACCCGCCTTGAGCAAGAGTACACCAGCTAATGCCTATGATTTGAAAGTCAAACAGCCAAATGCTTTGGGAGGAAGATATTATTGTTTGGTGGGAGGAAGGAGAAAAAAAAAAAAAAAAGACGGTGACAAACAAAACAACTTGCCGGTGTTTTCTTCACCCTGATGAGATTGTGAAGGATTAGGTCTCTGGGCAGAATTACTCTGCGTCTTTAAAACTGTTTATATCCAATAACAAATTATCTCCATCAATCTGCTCTTTTCTTGGCGCGCCTGATACAGTCAGTGGGATCAGGAGGGAGTAGAGGCAAACTCGATAACTGTAATAAATATTTATCTTTCCTTCAACCTCTGTGCCTGCTGCCACTTGTCCTTCTTTTCCAGGAAGCAGGCTTTTAAATATATTGGGTCAACTCCTTTCTCCAGTCCCCCTGTGCATTGGGAGCTGGAAATCAGATTATTGAACAGGCCCGGTGTCAAGACTTGCATTGTTCTTTTTTAACCACCGAAATTCCATTTGGGTGGAAATGATGGTGATTCAATTTGCCTCCAGCAGCTCAGACATTAGCAGTTCAAAAGGGCCAGCCGCCGACAAATGGGGCTGAAAACACATAATGGTGTCTGTGGTTACACACCATTGTAGTTTCCTTTTAATACCAGAAAAGCTACTTATCGTAGGGTGTGTGTCACTGGAACATCTGTACAATATATCTTAACACTTAGTTTAGTTGCGACTCCTCTATCTGTGTGCTTTTCGACGAGGGAGGGGCAGACGCAGCCTTCGGAAATGTGTGTATTTTCACACAAATTTATAGTTGAGCGCATATGTCCGTGCACGGCGCCAAGTATTCAATTCAGGTGGGCCAACAAAGCAACAGACGGGCCCAGGACTGTGTCAGTCGCTATCGTTGTGGAGCAGTTGGCCTCTCAAGGGCGTTCTCACCAAGCGGAGCATAAATCCCCACTGATCCGCGACAGTCAAGTCCCATTAGAATGGTCTGCACAACAGCCCATCACTCTATTATCATGGCTGGCCTGAAACTGACTGTTCTATTGTAAATCTTATCCCGCTAAAGGAGGCCGGCTTTAAGGCCTGTCAAGCTGAATATTAGGCACAGACTGCTGCGCCCTGAAAAAAAACCGAACCTCTTCAAAAAAAGTGGGTATCAGGATGTCGTTAAAGCCTTCCTGCTCATTTCTTGCTTGTTAGTGGCCTCTTTTGAAAAAGCTGCTTTGAAACAATTCAAATGTAGCTTTACATTACAATACAAATCTGATGCTGACTTCACCAACCGTGTTTGCTGGTGACTCCTGTCTAAGAGTTTATCATCAAATGATCATATTAATCCGTTTTATCATCAAATCAGTGCTTCCGAAAAGAAAAGAATAAGAAAGAAACATCTAAACCAGGTTCATCTAATTCACACAACTTAGTTTTGAGTATAAACCAGGTTCATCTAATTCACAGAACTTAGTTTTAAGTATAAACCAGGTGTATCTAATTCAAAGAACTTGGTTAACTGATCGACTGCTAGTGTCAGTTCAACAAACAGTGCTTCATCCATCGAGACTGAAACTGACTGTAAACTAAGTAAAGACCAGATTACTTTTTTTTTGCATGTCCATACATGAAAAACCTTTGAAGTGAGAGGGGTCTTTAAGATCCTTGCATGTTTTCATCACCGATATCTAAGTAGAAGGTGCATTAACTTGTCAGCATAGCATTAACCTATGAATCCAACATTTTCTTTAAGAGGTTCACTTTAAGAGATTTTACAATATCTTCTATTAATAAAAAATTGGAATAAGCTTTGGGCTTGAGCTCTGGATTTTTAAAAACACTCAATAAATCTTAATGCAACCCCAACCAAATACAGATATAGAGCACAGATGGTCCTTCCAAAAACCTTTTTTTGTTAAGGCCCTCCTCAGCTCATAGTCCATAACATAGGCAAAAAAAACAAGAAACAGGCTGAGAACTGCGGTAAATCTGAAGTGTCTTCATGGAAGAAAAAAATCTGACAGCATATGTTACTTTGTTGGTTATTGTGTGGATCTTATTTGATCCTGAGGGGATAAAAACTGTGATCATTGCATCACAAGAAAGTTTAATCACTTAAATACTAAATACATTTTCTTTATGCATGAATAAGGACTCCATTTAGGAAACAAAAAAAAAGAAACACGGCACTAAAGAAAATCATCTGATGTGGTCATTTGGACATAAATATTGCTCTTAAAAATGAAAGAGGTAGTATGAGACACGCTGGTTGCATGAATCCCAAGAGGCACAAATCGAAATCTAGGGAGCAAAAATGCAAACATTATAAAGGGGATTAGATAAACATAACCGTAAAAGATGCACAGGAAAAGCAAAAGTTTGGTGTGTAAACATGGATTTAATAAAAAACAATACAGATATGAGGTCACGCATATTACTCCTTTATGACAAATAATTACCATGTCCATCTTAGGCTAAAAAGTACACCAATGAATCGTTCATTTAACAATGACGTGTAAATAATTCATCAAGCAATTAGAGTTAGCATTAACACAGGGACATATTTTATGTCTATTTTTCCATACTTATTACCTCACGGCGCCTTTTATAAAATAATAAATCTCCCATCCGTCCAACCAGGGGTCCTCACTCCGTGTTCATCTGAACAGAGGCCTCTGCTGTGATGTGGATAAATGTCCTTGCACTCAGAAAATATGAGAACACTTGGAGGGACCCGAGGGACCAAAAAAAGGAGGGTGGAGGTGTCCGCTGCAGCCAAAAGCATTAAGCTATGATTTACACCCCTGTGGCTTGCTGTCTGTTCTCCCCATAGAGACATAGTCAGCAATGGGTCACAGGACTTCAAAAAATAACATTTGGTTTTCCTAACCTCTCTAATGCACACAATTTCATGGAACCTTAAAGCTCAGTGTTCAGGCCAAGTAACCTTTCTTTCTCTCTCTCTCTCTCTCTCTCTCTCTCCTTGTCTCTCTTTCCTCACACACACACACACACACGCCTCAGCCACATTTCTCCTGCGGAGAGAATTAGAAGAGGAGCGCAGAGCATGAAGAGTGGGAGTGAAGTGCATCCTGCTGGTTCGGGTCATTTGGGACAAAGTACAAGGAACACTAAAACGCAGAGTAATGAAAGCGTTCCTTCCTCTGTGCTCGGACACGGTGGTGAACGCGGCCGAGCCGTGCGAGCAACATGTTAACATGCGCGTGTGTGCATTCTGCGTGACTGTTTACGGAGAAACTGTGGTACCTCTCATGTAATAGCAGTCTCCGGATTCCAGCGGCAGCGTCAGGCCAGGTGTGTGGATGTCCCAGGCCACCTTGAGCCCGATCCTCCAGCAGGCTTTCTCTCCACTGCCTCCTTCACTGCTCTCACCTGTCAGTCACACACAGGCCAGCTCACTGTAACATTAGCACATCAAACCTCAGCTTTTTTTCATAAATTTATAGTTAGCTCATACTGCAGCCTATTAGAGATAAACAAATTAATATCATCAGTTTGTTTGTTTGTATTTTTTTTGTTTTTTTTTACAAATTGGCGGCTGCTACATCTGGATAACGCAGTGCAAAAATGCCATAACAGCGCTCACTTATCTGAGGACAGAAAATAGAATAAAATCAAATTGAATTAAGAATAACCGGGTTAAAAGTATGGAGTGCAATGATTAAATCAATACCACCCAAACAATGGATGTAAGATGTAAGCCTTTGTCTCCAGAAAGTAAGAATCACTTAACATCCGCGCGAAGATGATACGTGTTGCTGTGGTCATACTGGCTGTTAGCACAGGATCTTTATGCTATCATTATGCCGTGCAAGAGGAAATAGTGGGATAAAAGCCCCTGATGTTGTTTAGCAAGAGTTAGAGAGTGTGTTAGCGGGCAGTATGTATCCTATGATACTCCTGCTGCTGAACCCATTCACTGATACCACCTCCTATGTTCTTCTCTGCCTCTCCCCTGAAATCGTACATGGCATCCTAAGAAAACAGGATTTGGCGTGGCTGGCCAACACCCCTCAGCAAAATCAATGCTAAAGTCGTTCTGGGCCTCTCTGCCCCATGGCTGCCTTTTCCTTTGCTCAGCACGGATAAATAGTAACTTAATTTCCAGCCATTGTGCTCTGAGAGCCTGCTAATGACTGCTCTCCCCAAGGCCTCGGGAATTGTGGAAGACCGTCTTCTGTGCCGGAAAACACGTCGTTGGCAGATTCCTTTGGATTCCTTTGGATCAGAGCAGCTGGGAAAAGACGCAGCTCTACACTCGTCTGGCCAAAGGAACAAAAAAAGGGTGAGGCTGTTGAAATAGAGAACAAGAAGGGATCTAAAAAAGAAGAGAAAGCAATTCAAAACCTGTAGTCTCTGTGTATCTAACACTCTACACTGACGTTTCTTCGGGATCAGACGTGCGTCAGAAAGATCTGGCCGAGCCGAGCGCAGGAACATAGTTCGGCTGTGTTCTCATCAGTGTTTCTCCTTTTAAGTCTAGACCTGCGAGGGTCACGCAGAACTAGAAAAGACTCTGCCGCGAAGGTGTTGCGCTGCGGCGTTTGAAGCCTGTGTCCACGGGGTCGGGGTTGAAATGCCGGTGAACAAATTATTAAAGCAGACCACTGGAGCAGGTGGTTCTCCTCAAGCACGTCCAATGATAAAAGGCTGGCAGTAAAATGTGTTGGGATGTCAGAGCAGCTGGAAATGCACCTGTGTGCAGAAATTACAGCTCCACAGATTCAGGCAGAGCAGATATCCTGCCTTTAAACGGGTAAATGCATACAAGAACTGATGCTCGTTCCAGCCATGGCGGGGAGCAAGAAAAGGGGTCCTGAGGAGCTGGGACAGGGACATTTGACAAGAACTCCAAAATTCACTAATTTGGTTCATTGTAAAAGATTTAGGAAGGTTGTTCCCTCATAATTAATGTTAATGCCGAGAGGTCCTAATTTGTATATTTGCAATTTCAACTTAACTTCTAAGGAATGTTATTTTTAATTAAAAAACATTCTGGTATGGATGTACTGTGTCCTACAGGTTTTTTTTTGGTTGCTGTCTGGAAAGCAGATTCCCCTCTATCTTTCTATCAACTCAATCAGCAAATACTATCAGCTCGTCAGATAGTGTGCATTCCGTAATTAGGAGACATCGTATTATCCCACGAAGTACAGTCGAGGAACACTTATCAAAGCGGGGAGTCTTTATTCCATATCAGATAATTGCACATTGATCATTTCTTTGGGGGGGAATGATTTAGATGAGATGCAGGGCGTGTGATAAGGCCTGTTTGTTTCACTACGGCATTGAGTGGGTGTTAAGAGCTCAGATTCAAATGTCTGTGATCTCCTGGCGCACGGGCTGTGATAAGACTGTCAGCAGTGAGCGGGCGATGACATTTGATAATGCCCTGACACTATCACATAGATGGATCTGATGGCTGCCTCACCAGAGGCCATGTCTACAGCTGCTACGGCGCTGCTGGCAGGCCATAATACACAAGGTTAGCTGCATCTGATCCACCAAAAAGCTGCTGAGATAAGTCGATGGGACGGATATCGAAGTGGAGGGCGAAGATGAATCCTAATTTTTGGGATTAAACTGCAAAAGATTACCTTGTTAGAGTTGGATGAAAGTTAAATCAGTCGTCAGCTACAGTTTAATAGCCCTTACCTTTGTCATCGTGACAACTGTAGCTGTAAACAGCCACGGGGGAATGAGTGATCAGGTTCTCATCATGGTGCCACCCCACTGCCATTTTCCCCATCCCGTAGTACGGCTCCTCTTTGAGCTGGCTCATTTGCGCTGGGTCCATGTAGTTAAGTAAGGTGACGTTGAACTTGACGGGGCCGGTGCAGACCTGTGGGGGACTGGGCTGGGAACATCCCTGCCCACTTGTGTGCTCCTCCTTGTCTTGAATGTGGTAATCTGACAGGCTGTGCTTTAGCTGAGCCACAGGCTTCTCCTGGGCCTCCAGTCCCACAGGCTCTGTCCCTTTGCTGCTGACGGCCTCCATTTGCCAGCCGGGGCATTTGCCCTCGCTGTGCCCGGAGGCTGCTGCAGCACTGCTCACGCTCTGTTTGACTTGGGAGGACTCTCCTTCCTCGCTGCTGTGTCTGAGCTCAGTCTCCCACTCCCCTTCCTGCTTTGAGCAGCCCTCGTCACTGTGCTTGGATTCAATGTCCCACTCCTCGCTGTGCTTCGACTCGGTGTCCCCTTCTTCACTCTGTCTAGACTCTGAGTCCCCTCCTTCACTGTTCTTGGAGTCTTCACTGTGTTTGGACTCTGTGTCCCCCTCTTCACCGGCCTTGGCCTCTGCCTCTGCCTTGGCACACTGTGTTAGCCTGTCCCCTTCTTTCAGCTGAGACACATCAGAGCAGAAAAAGGTGTTAAGCTCCCACAGGGCCCTGCAAGCGGCCCTCAAATCAGGCTCACAACAGTTTTTTCCCTTGACCTCAGCGTCCTCGCTGTGCCAGGGAATGGCAAAGAGCCGCGTGTCCAGGTAGCGATAGGTGTGGCCCGGCTCGCCCAGCAGTGCCCGGGACACGGCCGTGAACACGTCCCGCTCGCGGACGCGGACAAGATCCTTCAGGAGGCATCCCTTCCTCCTGAGGGTGAGCAGAGCAGCCTGCACCCGGCCGTGCAGCTCGGCAGGCAGCGAGCAGGATCTCCTCAACAACAGGCCAGAGTAGCTGGAATCCCACTGCCACACCAAAAGACAAAGAGCACGACATAAGGAAACCCAGCGTCTTACCAAGTCTCTACTCATCAAAAAAAACAACATGGGGCATTTTGGGGGTGGTTCAAAGCTTTAAATATCATCGACTTTCTCTGGAGGTAGAGCGTCGACTCACCAGGTGTTGAAAACCTCGGTCTGAAGGTCCCAGAAAGGGAATCTTCTGGTCTCCCAACTCCTGCAGTAGCCTACGCCTCTGTGAAACACATAAAAAAAAGCGCACACAACCCATAACTGAAGAGAAGGAAAATAACCAGGAAGGTCAACATGTACAGCGAGTCTCTTTCAATTAGTTTAACAAATGATGTCTTCAGAGGGGACAGAGGTATCGCAGGAAACTGGTCGTTTTCACTGACGTCTCACGTTTTTATGATTCTGCAACCACTGCTGCTGGGTTCTTCACAGCCTTATAAAAGATGCCCAGTGCCATGGAGAGCACCTCCAATAAAACCGTCAGCCTGGTGAACGAATCAAAGTGCCTTTCATTGGCCCGCATTCCATTCTGACCTGTAACTGAAACATAAAAACTATGGCACCAAATAAAATTTGCTTCTTCTTCTTCTTCCTCCATATACGTGCACGGTATGGACATGCAGAAGCGGAATCTTAACCTCTCTATTCATTCCCCACCTACTTTCAGATGAATGAACAACCAAACCGATGAAAAGTTTGAGTCAGAAAGGCAGCATTTTTGTTAGTTTAGTTTGGAACGTAGTTCCCAAACTAATAATGCCAAAAAAACGGGAGAATATGGGGTAAGTAGTAAAAAGCCCTGTTCGCAAACATTAGAGTCCAAGTTTAGCATCCTCACATTAAAAAAGAATAGAGAAAAAAAAAGATGTGCATTAAAATCAGAAAGGGAGGGGGGGGGTCCAATAACAGAGTCAGAAAGAAATGGGAGGGCGTTTGGTTTAAGGCGGTTTGACGAATTTACCTTCAGGGCTGAATCTTTACCTTAGGCTAAACAACACAACACCTGCTGAAAGTTTTCTTTAAGGATGTGCAGGAGTGTGCAGCCCTTCCAAGAGTTCTTCTGGAACAAACAAAAACAGACTTGCAGACAGTTGGAACCCTAAAAAACAAAACAACATGCACTATTCATGGCCAGGCTGCATTCAAAGGCTGTTGGAAGAAATTGACAAGCTGACACGCGTTCATATCGGTGTCAAAGTCTAACTCATGACAGAAGCTGGAAATATCAAGGTGAGACTCTAGGCTAGTGTTGTATGTGTGTGCATCTGTGTGCGTTTGTCTCTCTCAGCTGCTTGTCAAATCAGTGGCCATTCATATTGTTCATTTGTGTCTACAGAACTGATCTCATTACAGTCTTCTTTATCCACGGCAGAGAAAAGTGGCTCCATGTATCTATATCTTTATATATAGAGAGAGATATAGAAAAATAAACACGTCCTGTCTGAATAATGCGCAGTAGTGAGCATGATGCCTCATCCCCAATCGCACACAACCAGGCCTGTCACACACGTGTCAAATACATCAGCCCACTAAGAAATTCCACCAAAAAAAAAAGAAAGGCAGGCAAAGACGAGAAGTTACCGGAGCCCTCTGAGGCAGGTGGACTCTCGCACTTTAAGAGAACTGCTGTGTCTGTCTTCCTGTCTACGTGTCTGCACCTGATGCTAAAAAGGAAAAATCACAAGGCGTGAAGAAAAAAAAAAAAAAGAGGGTCTGCATTTCCACTCAGACCCGAGCAACAAGATTACCAATTTCATAATAAAGAGGGTGCTTCATGGCAGCGCTGCACAGCGTCTGGCTGACTGATATATCTGATGCTCCCCCCCCCCACCTCTTTTTTTTCTTTTTAATCTCTCTCTTCCTTGATAGGATTATTTCCTCAGCCGGACTGTTTATCACGGAAAAACATATTAGGTAGAATACAACTCAATTGGTCTGCTTTGATCTGGCCTATAAGAGATATCAAAACTGTGTAGCGTATATTTATTAATTTCATTTATTCCACATCTGTGACAATCCAACGGACACTTTCTTCAAAGCAATCTTCACGGAGTAGATTAATGTCCGGCGCTTAGCACCAATAGCTCTAAATAGCCAGATAACTTCACAGCCGCAGGGATAAAACACCTCCGGTGTGACTCGTCTGCCTCCATAAGGGCCACTGAGGGAAAATAAAAAGTCTTACTACAGACAGAGGACATTCAGGTTCCTGAAGCAGGGCCGATAATTCTAGATCTGCAAAGAAAAGCTTGAAATTTCTCTAAGTCTGGCTAACATCTTCAGATTTTAATGTTGCAGAAAGACCAGGCTTATATATTAACAAATTTTTTCTCCAAGACCTCCAGCCAAAGGAGGGCAGCACCTTCATCAAAGCCCAACTTTTAGGCCGGGGCACCCTGCAAACCCCCGGCTGCAGAGGGGCTGACGTGATGAGAGATAGCGCTGTAATGGAGCACTGTGTTTAAACAGAAAGCTAATGGTGCTTGTCAGACACTCATTTCAGAGCTGCTCCCTCCCTCCAAAAGTGATGGTGAATCAACAGTTTTGACAAGTCCTCTGGGGAACGTCAAATTCAAAGAGACAGGCGACCCGTGCACATCAAGGGGCGCTTCCTGCCCGGGTCCGTTTGGCACCGGATTGAAGAATGTAGGAACTTTGTGTGAAGCAATACGGAGTGGAAAAAAGGTCAGGGCGTGCCCGCTCCGCTGGGAAATTTGCATTGGCATGTGTGGAGGGTCGGGAGATGCCCGAAGCTCAGATCAGAGCAGACATCTTTTCAAAAAGTCTTTTTGTAAAGCGCTTCAACTCAAAAACCCAAAAAACGGTAGCCCTGTCCGGTCCACAGAGGTCTTTTTAGGTCGTGGCCTACCTCTTCCTCAGGATGTCATACCAATGTGAAATAACACACCACCTAGGTGCCATAGCACACAAGCGGAACCTCGACAAATGATTTCCATGGTGATGCTCACATGACCGCCTTCGCCTCGCACCCCATCAGCTCCTGCTGTGGTTACAAAGTCACAAATGACCTCTCAAATGCTGCCCCGCATTACACCTTTCACTCTAAAACAGCACCGAGGGTGAAAAATTAACTATTTCTCTGCCCTGACATTTTATTCGAAGGGCCTCTTGTAGTGTGTCAGATGGCTAACTGGGCAGACTGGTAAATGGGTAACAGGAATGTGTGGGAGCTTACTTTGGCCACCGGTAATGTGTAACCCCACATGTCCACGCTCAGGACCGGCGTGAACCCGAATTTCACTGCGAGGACGGGAGGTCGGTCAGGAGGATGTTGCCAGAAATATCTTAAGTGAAAATAGCTCTGGGCAAATTTCTTGTTAAAATGTAAATCTTGTGGGATGCTGTGTGGTATTTTCTCACGTCCACACAGATTCTATCGAGCGTGTAGGCCCGGCTCACCTTTGAATGTTCTTTACGCCGCATGGGCTCTAACTCGTCTTACTCAGGTACTCGAGACAAGCAAGATGAAATAAAAGCACGCGTGACCAAGGAACAGGAGCACAAAGGGCATCCAATTAACAAGAGCAATACTTCCTCAAATCGGGGAACGTTGTGTATGCACCGACACACAGACATGTTCAGCATGTGTTGGGTGGGCCGGCCCAGGTGGGGTAAGCCATGACAAATGGCAGACAGGCCCGGCCCGGGCCCAGTAATTGTTGTTGGAGGCTGAAGGCTGAGTTTGTTCATTTCACCTCGCGACAGGGTGGCAGGAGCCTCGGTCATTAATATTAGAGCATTTCCATCCATCTACCTGAACAACAGGCCAGTCATTTAAAAGACTGGTGCTGGGCAGACCTTTCACGCCCCGTTTACAGCGCTGATCTGAACACATTACCGGCGCTGTGGGGGACCACTGCCAGCCATTAATTAGATATATACACACGCACGCTATGTGGCCACCTTCGCTGTCACTGGATACGCCAACACACGCCCAGTGTGAGGTCAATATCTCAGGTCCTGCCTGTCCTTCCTTCAACGGCTAAAACCTAAAGCCGCTCTTTTGTTTGTCTCGTGTTCCCCGATTTTCTGTCTGGCGGAGTGCGTGTCCAACAGAAAGAAGGAAGCATGGGACCTCCATCTGTTTTTTGAACTCTTTACTCTCTGCCCGCGCCTGACTGGATCACAGAAGGACCCGTGCTTCCAGATCAATCATTCAAAAGTATTTACAAATGCACAGAACCAGACTCAGACAGGTTGGCACATGGCCACTCTGTTTAAGTGCTTTCCAGTGTGTCTTTGGTGTCAACATCTATTTCACACTTATCTACACCTCAAAGGGGGGAAAAAGATGTTTCTGTGACCTTTAACGAGTGTCAGATCTGGAGAAGAGAGGAGAAGGAAAGAAGGGAAAGAGACGAGCGGTTGGAGAGATCTGTGGACGCATGCCTTACATAACCTTTTTTTATTTATCCGGGAGTGATTGACTGAACATGCTCTTTATCAGAAACATACTAGCCGCTTCACACTCACATACTCCAACGATTTCACACAGAGGAGCTGCTAGGCTCATCTAAGCAGGTTCTGGTGAATAATAAAAAGTTCCTCTGCTCTTCAAACGGTCCGATATGAGAGGAAAAAAAGTCCTGTTAGAGGGCATTTAGAGTTTGCTACCATCTGCGAGTCTCAAACTAGTAGCCTTACTGTCACAAGAGACAATGTCACACGTCTATGAACTCTTGGCAAGCCCCCGCTGATGCCCATTTTGCCTTAATTGTTAGTTTGCAGCCAGGCCATAATGTTTCCATTAAGATTATGTCGATCGAAAAAAGCTTTTTAGTTTTCACCTTCAAATTACAACATGCTTTCATGAGGTCAGCTGTTTTCCATGTGGAATGGCCGGTTTTAATGCAGACACAGTCCCTTGGTATTCAGGCCGGGTCCGGTTCAGTCAGGGGAAAGAGTGAGAAAATGAGGAGGGCTGGGGGATAGAGAGAGGAAGCAGAAGAGAGGCAGCAGAGCGTTGATTGAAAGACTGTGATTAGCAGTTTTCCGCGGAGCGCCAGGGCCACTGGGTTGTTCTAACAGGGTTGTCGCGTCTCGAGGTGCAGTCAAGGAGAAGTCAGTGCTTTAGAGAGCCCCCTCCATCTCTCCATTCCCCCCTCCCTCCTTCCTTCCTTCCTTCAATTTCGCCATCCAGCCACACTTTGCCTGCCCCTCCAAAGAAAAATCAATATGGCTGTGTAAAGTGCAGCTAGGCCC